AACTAGTATATGTCTGAGACAAGCAGAAATGGTCAGATTAGTTGAAGTTAGGCAAAATGAACCCAAAGATAAGAACTCAAGTTGTTTTTCTTTCTTGCTATTGTTTCTAACATATTTATAAGATGATTTCTTTGTTGCTTTGTATGTCCCTTCCCCATGATTTTCACTGTATTTGATGTTGGTATAATTTGTGGAGGGGAAGGGAAAAAACCAATTGTTTAAATAGGGATACAGGTGGACCCATTGCAACAATGAGATGTACAAGACATTATGTCAAAAAACAAACTTTACAACTTTGGCCAGGGGTGGGGCGGGGGGTGGTGGTGGTAGGAAGGAATGGGATGGGGAAACAAAGGAGGAGGCAACAATGTTTGATAAGAAATGTACTCATTACCTTGCCCATGTAATTGTAACCCCTCCATACAGTATTTTCACAATAAAAAAACAAACAAACAAACAAAAAACTAGACCCTCTGTGGACTTCATGGACTTGTTACTAGAAGCTCATTGTCTTCATAATTGACTTAACTTTCCCAATCCCAGAGATAGCCTGGTTCCCCAAAGTTGGAAGAAATCTCAATGTTGCAATTACTTGAAAAACTTACACAGTTGTACCAAATCCAGAGCCCTTATGAAAATCCATAGCTAATAATTCAGCAGGTAATTTGAGACTCAATATACAGAGGCACCTTTACTTTCATATCCACTACAAGCTGTTCTCCTTCTTTAAATCATAGAAGCATCTAAGCATGCAAGATGCACAATATTCTTCTATTTGATTCTTCACTACAGAATATGGTCCCTGAATGCAATTCCATTTTGACAGAGCATAGTTTATAAAATTCACCTTGACTCTTCTCTGAAAAGACTACAGATATCTGCAAGAAATCAACTACTAAAGAAAAAAGCAAATATTGGTCAAGTCTCTTTAGGAAGGAAGATTCTAAAAGTGAAACATAAATGTGTTTCAAGAGGAAAAGATTCAATTTATCTCAGAATGATTCTTTTTCAGTACCTGTACTTACCATCTATTCATTAATAAACATTTTTTACCCTATCTAGAACCAAAATGGAAAAAAAGAGAGAAATATTGGAATTCAATGGGTTGATTTTTAACAGAATCTGACAAAATATCAAACAACACCAGGTAAAAACAATTTAAAGATTTGAGATTTGGACAAAGAGTATGTCACTAGTTGTTTGGTTGTCTGTGCTGAGTACCACTTTTTTTTCTAGATATAATGTCTTCTGCCAATAATTTCTTAATGTTTATACTATGACAAATTCTATCACTTTTATAATATACATTTAACTTTTATGTAAACTGCAAATATGTACTGGTGAAGTATAATTTGCCAAATTTAGAGCCTTATGCAGAAACTAAATGACAAGGAAATAAGTGGAGTTTGATCCTAAGGAAGTTATTATCACCTGAGGAATAGTGGATATTCAATATTAATTTCAAAATATGATGCTGGAATGAATTTGACAGGAATAACTCTTAAAAATTAAAGCAATCTCTGCCTTGACTCTAGGCAGTATTAAAGAAACATGAATCCAATGTATTGTTTTTAAAAATGGTGCTTCATAGCCAGTTCATTGCCAGTGGCTTATATCTGTAATCTTTAGCTACTGAGGAGGCTGAGACCTGAAAGACCATAGCACAAAGCCAGCTTATGCAGCAAATTTGCTGAGACTCCATTTCCAAATAACTAGCAAAAATTCTGAGCTAGCATGCTACCATTTCTGCATTCTTAATGGTTAATTGAAGGTAAGTGTCACACTGATTATTCTGTCTGGGCTAGCTTGGAACTGTGATCCTCAGTTCTCAGCCTCCTGAGTAGGTATGATGATAGGCATGAGCCAACAGCACCTGGCCATGCTTATTTTTAAAGTAACTCTTTTAAGGACCTCTTCTTAAGGAAATAGAACCCTGTGGTTAAGAATGTAGGAGAATTTTCTTTATTTAAAAAAATGTATAGTACATCTTGGAGAGGCATTTGAGAGTGTAAATACAACAGCTCTCCAAATGTTGCTAAACTTAAGTTTAGCAAATTTTGCTAAATCTAGGCTATATAAGCTGTATCCTGACTGTCATTTATTATAAAATTGTGTTCTTTTCCAGTTTGTGTGTTATGGTACTGAATTATTGGAGGGAGGAGTATAAAGTGTTACTGAAAAGCATATTGAAAACATAGCATTGGAAGCCTAGGGGGAGAAAGGCCTAATTTTATGTTTACTGCTTCTAGAAATGAAAAACTTAAAATAACATTGAACTGTGTGTGTTGAACTGCATTTAAGTCGTACAATTTCTCAGAGACTAAAATGAATAATCATTACAGAGCCTTTCTAAGTCTGAATACAGTAGAGAAGTGTTTGTTGTGCCAGGATCAATACGTTCATGTCTTTATTTTTGCCTTCTGCTTCTTGTCAGGTTTCTTCCATGAGCGACAGGGGAACAAGTAATCACTCAGAAATGACTGGCTTCGTTCTTGTAGGCTTCAGGGTCGGCCCCGAGCTCCATCTTCTCCTCTTCCTGCTATTTGTACTCATCTATGCCGTGATCCTCTTGGGGAATGTTGGCATGATGACTCTTATCATGATCGACCCCCGTCTGAACACACCCATGTATTTCTTCCTAGGCAATCTGTCCTTCATCGACCTCTTCTATTCGTCTGTCATTGCACCCAAGGCGATGACCAACTTTTGGTCGGAGAGCAAGTCCATCTCCTTTGCAGGCTGCGTGGCTCAGCTGTTTCTCTTTGCCCTCTTCATCGTGACCGAGGGATTTCTCCTGGCAGCCATGGCGTACGACCGCTTCCTTGCCATCTGTAACCCTCTGCTCTATTCTGTCCAGATGTCCACGCGTCTCTGCGCACAGCTGGTGGCGGGCTCCTATTTCTGTGGCTGCGTCAGCTCGGTTCTGCAGACCAGCATGACATTCACTTCCTCCTTCTGCGCTTCGCGAGCCATTGATCATTTTTACTGCGATACCCGCCCGCTTCAGAGATTGTCTTGTTCGGACCTCTTTGTCCAAAAAGTGGTATCGTTTTCCCTCTCCGGCCTCATCATTTTGCCAACCGTTTTCGTGATCATCGTCTCTTATCTGTACATTGTGTCCACGGTTCTAAGGATGCGCTCCACCGAGGGGCGGAAGAAAGCCTTCTCCACCTGCAGCTCCCACCTGGGAGTGGTGGGCGTGCTGTACGGCGCTGTCTTCTTCATGTATCTCACGCCCGACAGGTACCCTGAACTGAGCAAAATGGCCTCTCTGTGTTACTCTCTCGTCACGCCTATGCTCAATCCTCTGATTTACTCTCTGAGAAACAAGGACGTCAAGGAAGCGCTCAGAAAACTGTTAGAGAAGAAAAGGATGATTCTGTGACCTTCCAGCCACGCTATTGTTGCTGTGGTGTGTCTTTAGTTCACACATGGTATGCTCACTGATGTCTTCTTCTCTCCACTATTATTTAAAAAAAAAATGCTACCGGCAGCTTGGTCTACGGTCATGTATTCTTACAGAATGTTAATTTTTTTTTAATATCCTCTACGACATCCTTAACCCTGAATATTCTGGGTGTGGGAGTTGTCCTTGGCCTTGGCAGAGTATTTTCATATTGATCCCTCCCCCACCAATAATTATATTTCATAGAAGCAGTGTATATGCCATATATTAGACAATATTTCCATGTGTTATGACACTAAACAATACTTTATCTAGCACTCATTATTCTTTTGTGTTGCCATTCCCTTCTATATGTAATCATTCATAACTGACAATGATCAGATGATTTTTAAATAAAATGGTCTTTTGTATTTATAACTTTATCATCAGGTTATATAGTTAACAAAGGTCAACTTGGTAAATTATTTTATGTGTGGTATTTATAAGGAGAAAAACATGGTAACCTTCACTATGAACAACCACTTAGAAAGCTATACCAAGTATGCCAGGTGTTCTGGAGTTTCTTAGATATTGCCCATTGACACTACTGGTTACAGGAAACTAATTCAAAGAACCAAAGTGGAAGATAGAGAAAAACAGATATTGCCACATGTTCATCCACTCAATCTGGATCTTCAGTGCTTTTTCTTGTATCAATTATACCTGAGAAATATTTGATAGAGGTATAGAAGTCAGCAAAATAGTATGATCTAAAATTTAATCCTCTGTTCCTCTGGACATGTTTTTTTAATAAATATATATTTCATTAATGCCTTGGAATACCTCTGCAAATGTTCTGTGTTGTGGTAGGAACAGGGATAACTAACTAGTCATTAAGGAGTTTACAATTAGGTTAGACAATTAACATCCCCATACTTCACATAATTAACATGACTGTAATCAGGTAAGTTCTCTTTGGAGATGTGCAAGAGACACTTAGAATGAGGCTAAGCCAGGTGCCCGGGGATAATATGTGTAAACTTAGCTATTCAGGAGGCTGAAATTTGAGAATAGCCAAGGTCAAAGCCAGCCAGGGCAAGAAAGTCTGGGAGACTCATATCTCCAATAAACTACCAAAAAAAACTAAAAATGGAGCTGTGATTCAAATGGTAGAACACTAGCGTTGAGCAAAAGATGCTCGGGGTCAGTCTCCAGGCCCTGAGTTCAAGTCTCAGGGGCAAGCGCAAAAAATAAATTTTTAAAAAGGAATAAGGTTGGAATAGGGGGATTGCTGCAGTGGGTCATATTGTTTATGTGTGGGGGGGGGTCATGTACGCTGTTAATGAAAAAGGAGCAGGTAGTATGTAAGAAACTGAGTAATAAAACAATAGTGTACAAAAGAAAGTGTGTTGTTCATAGTTTTGAAGATGAATGAGTCTGATGGTGGCACAAACTGATAGAAATTAAATGAGCAGAATAGAGAATGTAGCTCAGTGGTAGCTGCAGTTTTTCTCCTTTAAGAGAACAATTTCCCTCTGGACAGACAGCAAAGCATTGGTCGTACTTTTTTATCATTCAGAGAATAGAATACTTTCAGGGAATACAGCAGAATTTCCTTAACAGATGCTCTCCTTTACCCCATTCCCAGCTCATGTTGGGGTTCATCAGATCCATGTTCAGGTGTCATGTTACATAAACTTCCTTGACAGCAGTTAAAAATTCATGTACCCTCAAACCTGGGTGGCACTTAGAACCCAAACACTGACTCTTCAAAATTCAGTAGAAATGGCTTTTATAATAGCGGACAAGTACAGAATGTTTGATCTATTTTTAATTAGTTTACATGAGTTACATGGGGGAGGGGGATTTCCTGGTGACATTTCCACACATTTACATTGAAAATCAGTTTCACCACATCTCTCACTATTCCTTCGCCATTACCCCAAGAAATTTCAACAGTATTCAACAATTTCTATTTCCATAGTTGCAAATAATATATTTTGACCTTTTCAACCTCCTTCATACTCCATGTTAGCTTAACCCCCATCCTCTAGTCCTCACTCATCAACAGAAGCAATTTCTTTCTTTCTTTCTTTCTTTCTTTCTTTCTCTCTCTCTCTCTCTTTCCCTCCTTCTTCCCCCTCCCTCCCTCCCTCCCTCCCTTCCCTCTCTCCTCCCTTCCTTCCTTCCTTCCTTCCTTCCTTCCTTCCTTCCTTCCTTCCTTCCTTCCCTCCTTCCTTCTTTCCTTTCTTTCTTTTCCAGTCCTGGGCCTTGAACTCAGGGCACTGAACCTAATCTTCTTTTGCTCAAGGCTAGCACTCTACCACATGAGCCAAAACACAACTTCCAGCTCTTTCTGTTCAGGAGGTACTGAGGAATAGAACCCAGGGTTTCATGCATGCTAGGCAAGCCCTACCACTAAGCCACATTCCCAGTCCCAGAAGTTTTTCTCTTTTTCCACCCTGTATCTCTCTGTTGATCAACAGTTCATTACTTTTGCAATAAAACAATTTAATCATAACAATGTTAATGAGAAACTTTATATGAGTTAACCTTATGTGATAATTTTAAATGCACTAGATCAGTAAATATCTGAGGAATAATCAAATCACAAACATGGGTTGTGCAGGTTTTATTCAAATCATCCTGCCCACTAGCTTGGTGTTTGTTCCAATATAACATGTCAGTTATTTCCAGAAAAATGTTTGGTCACATGCTATCTTTTCTGAGGATTTCTTTATAGAATATTGCACTATCCTTGCTAGTATGTTTTGCAATGTTTTGGCAGGCTATATGCACAGGGAAAATTAAAATTCTCACCCTAGTAATTGGGAAATAGTCTAATAAAATGCCAAAAATTCTATGATTATGGAAAGTCTTGAAACTGTTTCTGTATCATCCTTCTTTCTTCAAATGTCATTTGTAGAATCTTTGTGTATTTTAGATTAGGGGCCGACAAAATTAGTCTTTTGCACTTAAACATTTTGAGTTCACATAGAAATTTCCATATTACAAAAATCCCAATGTTGCAAGAGTGGAGGACTTATGAAGAAGGTACTTTCTTTCTTTTTGAATATACACAATAGGATTTCTGGGTTTTGTTTAGGAATCTGAAGGCAAATCACGTTGATTCTCACACTTAAGAGAAACACCCAGATCTCTGGAAGTTGTTTTTTTTTTTTAACTACCACTTCTTCCTATACCTTAATTCAAAGATGCCGGCATGGTATGCATCTAGCTATCCTCTGTGCTCTTTGAATAGCCAGTTTTCACTCCAGTTATTTTATTCACTGTTGCTTGTGTTAACTTTCCTCTGACTAATATCAGCCTAGCCTAGTGTATCTACAGTAGCATCAAGGAAAAAATTTCTAAAATAGTAAGGGCTATAATCCATTCCCATGAGATGATTGAATAATGTTCTGTGTAAATGAAATATAAAAGCAACACCAAGCACTTATCCAATGGTATCTGTTTTATTAGTTTATTCTGTGTAAAACATTGGTCCTATAGAGAGCCCTTTAAAATTTCCAATAGTTATCACTTAGTGAATTCTCCCTTTCTTTTTGCATCACACAATATATTTTTTTATTTTTTTCATTATTGTGAAAATACCATATAGAGGGGTTACAATTACATGTGCAAGAGATTGAGTACATTTCTTATCAAGCATTGTTGCCTCATTCTTTCTTTCCCCACACCATCCCTTCCCCTCTCCACCCCCCCATACCACCTCCCCCCACCCCACCAAAGTTGTAAAGTTCACTTTTCGACATAACATCTTGTACATCTCATTGTTGCAATAGGTCCACCTGTATCCCTATTTAAACTATTTGTTTTTTTTCCTTCTCCTCCACAAATTATACCAACATCAAATACAGAGAAAGCTGGGGTTATACAGTGGGGGAGGGCCATACAAAGCAACAAAGAAATCATCTTATAAATATGTTGGAAACAATCGCAATAAAGAAAACCCATTTGAAACCTTATCTTGGGGTTCATTTCACCTAACATCAACTTGTCTGACAGTTTTCTGTCTCAGCTCCCCTATGACCCAGCAATCCCACTTTTGGGCATTTACCCAAATAATCACAAACAAGACCATACTAAAGCTACCAGCACAACTATGTTTATTGCAACATTACACAATATATTTTACTGATGAGGGGCACTTTAATCCCCAGTGAATGGCTTTTCTTGTGGAGGGAATGATACCATTTTGGTCTCCCTCCCCGGGAGAGAATTTCTCTCAGGATTCATGCCAGGGTTATTTTTTTTAGTTGAACAATGAACTAGCTCATGAAGCCAAAATACAGTAAGTAAGCATAGTATTAAGAGATATGCTTCAATTTTGCTGGTTTTTATCCATGTTATCCAATTTGAGTCATGATCTGATGAGTAAGGAAATAATCTCTGTTGAGGAAAAACTTACCTTAAACAAAGGTTTGATTCTTTTCATATGTTTGTCTCTTTATGGATATACTTGAAGTCACTGTGTTCTCATGTTTACTAAGGAAAGACATAATCATTTCTTAGAATAGCCAGTACTTTCTTTTTTTTCATTTTTTTCTATGTACTTTTCCTTTTAGATAGTATTTGTTATATTTCTTTACTTTGTTTCAATATTTCTGTTGAAAACAGGAGCTAATTTAAAAAAAATATGCACTTTGTAATTAATATACAATTTTAAAGATTATTTTGACCAACCCTTTGTATGCATCAGTATTAATCTTTTTTTCTTTTCAAGAGTGTTGACTATTCTACCCTATATAATCTAATGTTAGAAGAATTTCAAATTCCAAATTCTTTACTACCTTACCATGTGAACAAAATTTTGTCATAGAAATGACAAAAAAATGTAAGATTCATTTTGTTAGTATATTTATAATTCAATGTGGTCACTATACTTTTGTACTTTAAATAAAAATGTATAGTTAAAATTAATATAGATATATAGTAACAAGACATTGCAATAGCATGTGATTTAATTTATTATGCTTTAT